CGTCAGGTCTTTGTACTGTTCCATTGAATATTCACGTCAAAGTGGAGGTCGACACATTTCAAGGATTCCTCCGAACGTAGCGGTTAGATAACTCGTGATATTTTTTGGTGATAACATTCGACCGGTACGCCTTAATTCTCCGATAACACGTCGTGGCAAAATATCGCAGCGAACGTAGCTTGTCGCAACATAGACTTGAAACATCGCTGAACAAGTGCAAAACACCCAGGTAATAGGACAAAGCTAGACCAGAGTTAACAAGAAATCAATACTGCAACTAAAACATGCAGAATACAAAACAAAAACAACGGAAAATGCTCTAGCAAACGTGCTAGAAACGCCGAACTCGAAAGGTTTGACGAGTTCTGCCCGCCGCACTCAACTAAACATCATAAAGAAGTTTGCATTTTTGTGCCCTTCTTACCTGCGTAAAATTATTAGAAACCTTTAAAAACTATGGAATTTTGAGCTCTCACTTTCATGTTCTGCTTGTACCTCGGATCCAGAATGCTAAGGGGCCAAACTCACCGTTGGGGGGCAAGCCGGGCTTTGGTGGGGGGGGGGGGGGGGAGGAGGAATGATCCACCCAAAAGAAAAAAGTCAACACACGTGAGCAGTAACTGTGAAACTAGGGCAAAAGCATGTGGAGGAATTTGCAATTTCTGCGAGATGAAGAGGTAACAATTTACATCAGGGAGCATTACATTGATTCTCCAAGAGTAATCCAAGCAATATCTCAGTTTCGGAGAGGAAGTGCGATGCTGATTTCGATGACTGGTATATGACAACAGGCCAACAGTTTAACAGTCTTGTTTAAAGGCCGCTCACAAACCCTGATCTACCTTTTTATTTATATTCTCAGGTTGCCCCGTACTTCTCTTCTGTATATACCAGTTTTCTTTTGGAGCTCGCTTTCTTCAGAAATGCCCTATTCTACCCCGTCCTAGCTTTTCAAAGTCTTTCCAGGATCCTAGGATCCCAGGATCCCAGGATCGTCCGAGGACATGTTGACGGGATCCGAGATCTCGGAAAGCCCTTAAGCAAAAGTGAAGAAATGCATCCGGATCTCAGAAGAGCCTATTAGAATATTCTACTAAATGTTGGATCCAGAGCTAAAGGATCCGATCACGGTATCCATGCCTGGAATCTCAGCACATACCTGTGATTCAACAATGCGATTTGTGAACCAGCACGTGTAGGTTACGCTAGTAAAAGGCGGGCACGAAGTGAGTTGGCGGTACGTGCTTCGACGGTTTCTAGAAGTTGTGGGGCTTCTTTCGTTTCAGTTTTGACATTTTCTATCAGATTTGTGCTTATTTCTGCTGCAGTGCAATAATTTAGACCCTGACTAACAATTCGCGCGATGACGATTCCGCCTACGAGTCCGCGCAGCGTTGGTGCAGTAGGGGAGGGGGGGGGGGGGGGTAGTTACCCTTCTCTTGCCGACAGACAAAGGGGAAGGGGTATGCTCCTGCTCTCCAAGATTAGAGGAGGACATTTTTGCTCAAGCAAAGGCTTTGTAGTTAACGTAGATAACCAAAACTCAGATTAAGGAGGACCTCATAGCTAAGCTAGATACCAAATCGGACGCGCTGTTTTGAGCGTTGTTGTGCGATAAGACAGAGTTGTTCCGATAAGACAGTATTACATTCAAAATTGATGCGAATCAGACAGATCTTGGTGCACACCTGTTTTGCGGGTTCTGACGTTGATAGCGAAATACAAAACATGACAAGACACTTTGACCATAAACTAAGACAAAGCAACCAACCGTCCAACTGCACTATCAAAAATAAATGACATTTGCCAACAAACAAGACGAAAAAGCTCTACGGGAAACCATCTCTCAACACGTAAAAGGCGAGAACGACTGCCGAATGGACACAATCATCCATCATCGTAACAGAAAAATCTCCAATCTTCTCTTGAGAAATATTCCTGACAAACACGGCAAGCTTAAATGCCCCAATGCAGTGTTCAATTCAACTGAAATCTCGGAGGCTGCAAGCTTCGTTCCATACACCACATTAGCGTAACCACAACGACAATCTCACGACATCTGACAATGCACTTACGCGACGGAGTACCTCTGAAGCACATGCGATACTCATATGACAGGACAACTAACGGAGAACACTGACATCCATTGGGCGTGCAATGACAGACGACGCCTTCAACTTTGGGAAAGTATATTTAGCAACGAATTCTCTCCAACCCTAAACAAACATACAAATCCTTGCGAAGCCTCTGACTTAATGGGTGGTGGGCGGTAGGTACTGTGCAAGTGATTGTGGCTATGAGTCCCTGTGATGCATTCAAGTAACAAAATGAGTTTTTGGTCTTTTCCGCACTAAAAGATGTTCTTAAGATAGCGATGCACAACTAGCATCCTTAATAACGGAACACCTATTACCTGTGCCATTTAATTTTATCCGATAATGAGATAAGGTCTCGAAACGCTGGAATTTATTAACGTCGACGAAAATTTGAGTGATTTTGTGCGAACAATCTTTTATTTTATCGACACAGCTATGTCAAAGGCTCAGAACCTCAAAAGATGCATCAAGAAGCTTGCACTGCGGAATCAGTGTTCGTTTATATATATATATATATATATATATATATATATATATATATATATATATATATATGTGTGTGTGTGTGTGTGTGTGTGTGTGTGTGTATTTGTCAGGCAAACCAGATTAATGGTAACCACAGAAAGTGCCTGCAATCTGGTATTTAAAAAAAGAAGTTTACCTAAAATGTCTAAAATGCCCTAAAAGGCTTTAAAAACACATTGCGGGCATCTTCTGCGATGATAATTTTTTTTCAAAATTTCAGCCAGACAGCGTTAGGTTGATAATTTTATGGAAGTTGCATAACAAACGTCGACATTTGAAAAGCGAAATTTTGTCTTAAAATACCGGGTTACGCCACACGGCTTCGACCTTAGCTATACGTACAACCAGATATACGTGAGCAGCTTGTTTCAGAAAAGTCTCTACCTTCGTCCTATACACAAAATCAGATAGAGAGAATTAACAACATAGACAATTGCCAACCCCCGCCCTAAGGCGTATATTTAGAAAACAGAAAATACTAGACACACTCCCTTTAAGTCGGCTCATGAAGCCGGCAGGGGCAAATGAGCTGCCCGGAGCGCCCATTCACTGCCTAAAACAGGCAGTTTCCAGAAAGTGTGTTTTCTATTGTGGTGTGGTGCAAGGGTATATAATTTAGAAATAGGTACTGCGGCAGGCAGCCCATCTGCTTTACACACCAACAAGAAGTGATGCTGATCCAGAGGCATGCAGTAAAACATTCACACCATAAGTTCGTAATCAACCATGCAGGGGACAGCCACTCCACGGCAGCGGTCGCCGACGACGGACGGAAGCGAGGCTCAGGCAGTTATTATCCGAAAAAGGTCCTTCATTTTGTGACTTGCTTTTTAAGGAGAAACCATGATTTTATGGCTTGTGTCACATTGTTTTAGCAGGTAATATTTGAAGCTTGCAAATTGGCTTTTACCTAAAATGCTGCGATAAACCAATGTTGGAAAACGATCGACGAAATCCAAGCACGTGAAAACTCTGGCGCACCACAGGCCTTTACTTCGAATTCGAAATTCTGATCGGCCTGTACCCAGACCAAATTTTTACACGTAGTTTGCAAAGACAGTTTGATGTCTACTCGATGCACAAAGATTCTTACCAGCTCGTGGAATGCTGCCTCCCCAGGCGAAAAAAATGTTGAAACGGACGAATAATGTTAGGAAACTGGGCAGTCTTATTTGCCAAATAATGCAGGTGAGTCGAGGAGGCAAGACTGAGCATGACTAGGAAACAACTTTCGAGGTATGTCTAGCACATTGGTCATAACATTTACCCATTCCCGGAATGTGCTATGTAGATTAAGAGCGGACAAAGTCCCTTAACTCGCCCTCCTCCCCCGGTCGCCGGGCTTTCCACCTAGCAAAGTTCCTAACGTATAGCCCGAGCCCGCTCCCCGACACTTTCTGATACGTTCCACGCTTATGAATGGAAAATTTCGAAAATTTCGTCTCGGTGACAACGGCTTAGGCCGCATCTCCTTATCTGCATATTTTACCGCGCTTGAATATTTTATCACGGATAAAGGAATACCGTAATCTATGTCCATATACGTAATCTTTAAGCGTATACGTATACGTATATCTATATACATGTTTCTCTCACTCTTTATGGCGCTACCCATAAATCACGCCTAGCATGCATGGAGCATGGGGATGAGTTTTTCAAGAAGCACAACCAAAGGGTTAAAAGGTGGACTTGGTCTTGCACGACATAACGTTTCGCTCAGATGTGGTTGCAAATCATGTCAAAATGTAAACAAATATTGTAAAGCCTTACAGACAGACGCCGTTGAACTTCTCCCTCAGCCAGATCGCGCCCATGTTTGCTCCATAACTCTGGCTCCGGAGCCCAAACAAACGCGACCCTTTGGGTTCGTGACCTTTTCCACTTATCTGGATCGAGGCACTTGATGACCGGTGACTCAGTTTACCCGACTCCGACTCCAGCAGTCACCTCGCAACAGAATTAGGCAGGAAACAACTCCACACCAACTCAACACAGATTTGGTTGATCTGAAATCAGTTTCGGCTGCACCCGAAATAGCGCACAATTCATTCGTCCATGTGATAATAACATTAGACTAAACTTCCACTACTGATGGTGATACGTGATGCCGAATTAAAAAATTCGCACGTCCCGCAGCGGGCAGCCTACTTGTCCCCTGCCGTGAGCTGGTGTGCTCCTATTGTAAACGGAGGTAACCAGTAGTCAATCAGCTTCGCAAATAAAACGCCTTTAACCAATTACTTCATTTTATCAGCTGAATGGATCCAGGGCACGCAATTGCGAACAGCTCACAGATCACTGTTCGTTGCGCACTTGTGCCATTTCTGATGCTTTCTGGATTCGGTGCATGTTCACATACTGCACCGTTTGTACCGGTTGGGGTAATTCGCCGTTCACGTGAAAGCGGCGATGAGCTGTGCGCTGTCGTGTAGTTTATGCATCGTACCTTAACCGCACGCTAACCTACATACGCTGTTGCCTACTCGAGTAAGTAACCTTACGTGTGGTAACTTGGGGTGATCGTGGCATTCTATGTTTTTGTCAAATGTTGTACGAGGTTGGGCCTATGATCGAAGTCTTGCCAAGCCAGAGCTTGTTTCATATCCAAAGACGCTGTTCCTTCCAGTGCAGTAAAGTAGTTCTGCTAGCTAAGGCATCATACTGTATTTGCAAACCAATTTTTGGCCAGGGAACAGCACGTGCTTGGTGCACGTGCATGTGGCCTACTATGCCATGAACACATATAAGGCCAAAGAGAAAAACAAGATGCTGTACCACAGCAAATTAACTATGTACTGTTGGCTTTGCTTTACTGGGTTAGTAGTAGATAGAGTTTTTGACATGGAATGTGATCATGAGACATCCAAAACTTTTGTATACAAATCACTCTGCATGAAAAATGTTAATTTTTGTAAGGTCTTTTTATGGTTTCTTTACTGCAGTTTCAGAAAGGCTGTTTTTTCTGTGTCTGGCTGGAAGGTTGTTGGCACACATATATTTTTTTTAAGGATAAGAAAGGTAATTGAGTGCCTTAAGTATTCTTTGTCTTCCTGTATTGTCACATTCAAAATTCAATCATGTAAAAAAAGATGATTGCCAATTTGGCCCATCATGATCTTAAAATAATTTTTGAGCTATATGTGACCAATGTTTGATTGATTTAACACATCACATTATCAGGTCTACATGACAAAGTCACTTCTCATGGAGACATGTACTGAGAGAGTACTTAATGGTGTGGCAAGTGGTACCACTTAATGGTGTGGCAAGCAGTACCATTTCTGCTTAATATCAAAATGTCATTTTGAGAAATATAGTTGCTAGTATTTTTACCTTTTATTCACTTGAATGTATTTCTAAAGGTTGAAGGAAACAGCATATGTCTGGTGTGAGAAATGATATAGGTACATATGTAGTTTTTACCTGAACTGTATTAGAAACAATACAATGCACCTCCAGCAATTCATTGCCATACCCAGTTGCAAACCTTGGCATAGATTATGCAGCTGAAGTCAACTTAACCTGGAGCAGGTCATTCTGGGGCACATCTGAGGCCCCTTCATGCAAAGTGTGTGAAGATACCCCCTGACACATAGTGCAGTGGGGTCCAGGCAGCTATTTTTCTTCCACGTTATCTTTACTGCCTTACTGCCACTCATGCCTTTGGTTTGTACATCAGTCAGCTAAAACATGAATTGAAGGAAGAGTAAACAAAGACCAAGCTGAGATCACTGACTTAATATATCACAACCTCATAGGAGCATGTTTTTTCCCTGTGTTTGACCCACTTTTCTCTTAAAAGTTGGGGTAGCTGGAGCTATACAATTGAATAGAAAACTGCAGCCCTCCTTGCATCACAGCTCACATTGCTCTGAATTCAGGGAAAAGAGAGAACTTTTCTAATTGTTTCCTTTTGACTTGGTTTGACTAATAAAAGTTGCTTGTGCTTATCTCCATTTACTCTAATCTGGCACATATTTACATGAGATAACTGATGTCACAAGCTATCTATTGCCACTTTCTGCACATGAATCTAGCCGATCTACCATATGGAATAGCTGCGTAGTCTGCCCAGTCCCTCTTTTCTCACAGGTGAGGAAACAAAACCCCTGTTGGACATGGATGTATTGGAAATGATCATATTGCGGGCAGCATCAGCTACTTAGGATATTTTGTTATTGGGCGTGTGCAACCACCGGGGTTGAGAGCCCTTACGTTACTTCGGCTTTGCGGCATGGCATAGTTAATACAACCGGACAAATCTGTTCTTTTTGTAGTACTTGTACTCATGTGACACAACATTTGTTGTAGTTCCATTCTTTGGAGCTAGGTCCGGGACCTGGCTCCACAAAGGGAAACTACAAGTTGGTCTGATGCCCTGTGCTTTGTCGCAACTAATGTACTGAATGTGTTTTCCTTACGTGATTTTTTCCTGGTTTCAGGTGTCAACATGGAGCAAATGAACGATGCTGGACTCGGAGTCAGCACTTTCTTTGCCTCGGCTCATCCCAATGAGTCATGTGGGATGAATGGACTTCCACTAACCCCCAATTCCATTCAAATCCTGGGCGAATTTCAATATTTGAAAACCCTCAGGCATCCCAATATATGTCAATATGTTGACATTACTCGGGGAAAGCATGGTAAGAGTGCGGCGCCTGACCCGTCACTTTCGTTCTTTTAGCAGTGTAGACTCTAAAGGCAGGCTAAATATGTCATACTTACATAAATGTATGGGGATATTAGTGATGACTGATGATGATGTGCTGTTCTGTCAGCTTCTTTCGGTGGTTGTGGATGAGCCCACGCAGATGTGGGCTTATCCACAAACGTGTCAACGTACATCAGGGGCAAGTTTTTATGAAGCCTATTTACTGCGCAAGAAACAATCCCATGTTGTACCATATGAACATGACCTAACCACAGTCGCAGCTCCTGCAAATCAACGCAAATATATTTTAACGCCCATTGCAGTGCATCAGGGCTATCAGGTGGTGGTGCCCCTTACTCTCCCCTGGCACAGCAGGTGATGGTGATACTGATGCCCGCTATCCCGTGGCAGGGCAGCTGATGGCGGTGCTGATGCTCCCTCTCCCATGGTAGGGCGTGCTAGGGTGCCGCTAATGCTCCCTCTCCCCTGGCACAGCAGCTGATGGTGGTGCTGATGCCCCCTTTTCCCTGGCAGAGCAGCTGACGGCGGTGCTGATGCTCCCCTCCCCCGGCTTGACATTTCCTAGTGCTACCGACCGTCCCCCTCGCCGGCAGAGCGTCTGATGGTGGTGTCGGAGCACTACCCCCGCTCGCTGGCGCAGACGCTGGTCGAGGGCGCCCCGCCGGCCGTCCCGACGCTGGCCTGGCAGCTGCTGCACGCGCTGCACTACCTGCACCAGCGGCACGTGGTGGTGCGCAACCTGACGCCCGACTCGGTGCGGCTGGATGGGAGCGGCGCCGTCCGCCTCGCCCAGTACGGCCTCTACTACATGACGCGCGACGGCGAGCTCGTCTCGTTCCCGATCGGGTGAGACTCCGAGCTCGTGGCGCCCGGCCCGGCGCGCCTCGCTGCCAGCAGCAAACGCGTCCAGGACAGCTGAGGCAGCCGGGAGGCAGCTCTCGAGGCGTCGCTGTGTTCTGTGTCCGCCACTGGGAAAGCGTCCATGTAGCCATGTCGCGGGCGATGGTGCCTAGATCTACGGAAAGCAGTCGCTGCACTGGATGCGCTGCCGTGCCCTTGTCGCTGAACTTCATACCCTTAGATGAGTTGGTTTGTATTAGGCGCGCGCCGCTCTGCCTGGTCTCGAAAGACGGACTTGCTGATGGTGACCACCAGCCAGATCACGCTCGCGCATGACGTGTTGTCTCCTGACCAGCCGTTTGACAGTTTCGACGGCAGCGACGGCTACGTCACTTCCATGACAATGTCCGCGATAGCTGCCCCGTTGTGGGGCACATCGCGTGGTCCCCGTTGAGCACCCAGCGCACTGCTCGCCCACCCCGCACCCGGCTCCCGTTCGCCTCCCCGTGTGGACGTGGCCGCCCGTGCGCGGCAGGGACGTGGCGTTCCTGGCGCCGGAGGTGGTCGCCTCCGGCCTGACGACGGAGTTCCGCAGCGGCGCCAAGAGCGACGTCTGGTCGGCGGGCATGGTGCTGGCGCGCGCCGCACTCGGAGCCGGGCCCTGGGACGGCCGTGACGTGGCCCAGCTGGTGACACGGCTCTTCCGGCTGATGCGCTGCGACGACGTGCTCGCGGAGCTGGCCGACGAGGCCGGCGCCCAGGACGCCCTCCGGGTGAGACTGAGGGCCGGGCGGGCTCCAGTGAGACTGGGCCAGGCGGGCTCCGCGTGAGACTGTGAGCCGTGGCGGGCTCCCGGTGAGACTGAAAACCGGGGAGATCTGGTGAGACTGGGCCGGGGCGGGCTTCGAGTGAAACTGCGGGCCGCGGTGGGCTGCGATGAGACTGTAGGCCGTGATGGGCTTCGGGTGAAACTGTGGGCCCGGAATACTGATATCACGAATATTTGCTACACATCTCGCACCAATGCATGTCACTGCAATGCTTTGACGTATGCCCTGATTTGAGCTATAGTTTAGGACAAGTTTAAAGTGCCGATGTTCGAAGACACAGAGTAACCGATTCCAGTGTGGCCAGCGGGCCGGGATCGGACACAAGGAGTGCACAGCGGCTCGGGCTGCTCACTAGCGTCCCCCTATCGGCGCGACAATGTACCATAAATGCATGGACGGCACCATAGAGGGCAGTACACGCTGCACTCACTATACGGCGCATGCTCCACATTTCCGAGAACGCCGTGTGCGCAGAGAGCCGATCGCTCTCTGGTGACCGCTGCCGATGCATGTAGCCGGGGCAATCAGCATGCCGATGGCGGAGCAGAAGACGATGATGCATGTAGACGGCGGCGCGGAAGATGACGCGCTCGTCCGTGCGGGCAGGCGCTGCCGGCCGAGGTGGCTGAGCTGATCCGGCTCTGCCTGACGGCCGACCCCGTCCGGCGGCCGTCGGTGGCCGAGCTGCTGCAGCACCGGGCGCTGGCCGGCCGGTCGCCGCCGCCGCTCAGCCACGTCCTGCAGCCGTTCCCTCTGATGACGCGAGAGGCTCCGGCCGACGGTGGCGGCACGGCGCCGGGCGGCGGCCCCGAGCCGGCCGGCGCCGGCGGTGTGGAGACACACCTGCGCACCCGCTCCCTTCACGAGGTCTACCACCTGTGGAGGCTGGCCGGCGGCGACCTGGAGGCCGAGCTGCGCAACCAGGGCCGGGTCAAGGCGAAGCCACCCATACTGACCGTGCCCAAGTAAGACGGCGACGGGCCGGCCGTGGCACTCGCCGCGCGTTGGCCGTGACCGATAAACATGAGCTCTGGGTTTTGTCCTCTGTGCGCCACCCGCGCTGGCATTAACCGCTTTTATTTTCGCGCACGGAGATGAATGCACGCGTGCTGGCAATGACGCTGACGCTTGATTTCATTACTGACGTGCGTCAGCAGCCGGGGGATACCGAATAAGCATGGCGGCGGCGTGTCCGCGCATCTTGTGCTGGCCATGGTTGCCGCTCCGTTTTACACTACGTTTCGGTTTGCGAAATCGACCCCCGCTGCAATGCAGTGACATTCCTGCTGCAGGTCAGTGGTCTCCTTGCAGCTTGGTAGGTTCCGCCTTTTCAGTCGGTGGACCTGCCTGTGTCACGGTCACATCGTGCCCTGTTCGTCCCATGACGTGGCCGCCGTCGTGCCCGGCTCGTCCAGCCTGGTGACGCTGGAGGGCGAGACATTCGGCGTGCGTCGCGATCGGGACACGCTGTACGACCCGGCGGTGGCGGCGCTGCCGCTGGGTCCGCTGCTCACCAGGCTGCGCGACGTCTCGCCGGCCGCCTTCTACCCCCTGCTAGAGAAACGGTGAGGCGGCGGCCGGCCCTGTCGCTGCCCCTCCTCCCCCCCTGCCCCACTCCTAGCTGAGGCTGCTGGGGCTGCACGGCTGTACCGGTGCGGACTCACTGCCGCCGCCACCCTCCTGCACTTCGTGCTGCGAGGATCGGGGGTAGTGAGTGCCGATCATACTGTTGAGCCCCCTCCCCTGCCACCCTCCCGGCGCGTGTCAGCAATGTCCAGTACGTCCATCCCACATATTTGTTTAGCACAGGGGCACCTTGCGGGCGCACATCATGTGGGTGGCATAGGCTACGTCCACGGAGCTCGTTATGTGCCTGAGAAGCCTTCATCAACGACCTCCGCCCTGCCAATCCAATAACCGATGGCTCGCAGCATATTGTAAAAATCAGTGGGGTGTCGGACATCGTCTACACCACTCCGCCCGCACCGTTTTTAGTTTAGTTTTCTCGTAGTTAGTACAGTTTTATAGTTAGTATAGGTTCTCGTAGTTAATAGTTTTCTCGTTGAAGATCTTTAAGGTCGGTACTGGTCAAAACTGGTTCAAGTCGGAGCTTGCCACCTTGTGCTGCCTCAGATGCCATACGATCAATGCCGTCGGTGCGCCCGACTGATTATCGTCAGGATTATCGCTGGGAGTGAGGTCATATGTTGTTCCATGCTATTACATTTGATAGGCGCCACTTCGGATGAGGTTCAAATCACAACATAAAGGTAGAACAGCGATGTCGCACTGCGAACGGTTTTCAAGCAATAGCTGGGCTTGTTATCAAGACGTGACACGAATTGACATGGGTTTCACAACTTTTAAATCAAAACAGATTAAAGGGAAAAAAGGATATACCATAACGGTCCCGTTCGCTGCATCTGCAATTCTTTCATCACTTGCCCGCATTTGATCTTAATCTCGAACGCTTTTAAAATTTGATCCGAGCATTAACGACGTAGTCCCGTGCGCCTGACAGACTCCCGCTGCCCAGTGTGGAGCGCCCCTAGCGCTGAGGACGTACCAACACGTTACTCTTGAGCGTGGCATTCGCCGCGCTAGCGTCCGTCTACGGTCGCCGGCAGCCGCCGCCGGCTGAGCCGTGGACCATCTGCCGGCGGCGGGATGCGGTGTAACCGGATGTGATGATGCCGTTTGTTTGTCTTTACCAATTGCCAACCGCGTGGTTGACAGCTGCCGGTGGCAGTGCTGGGGGGGGGGGGGGGGGGGGAGTGTGATGGTGGCTTTAAGTCGTATTGGGCGGTGCATCGACTGTCGACATGGTTTGGCAAAAGCTCCTGTCCAACGCGATTAAATACGGGTGAAGAAACAAATCTCGCTTCTCGGTAAAATGACATAGCATTGGGCTCGCCAGGGCTTTCCCAATGCTATATATAAGTAGGAACCGCCCTAGAGAGACAACGGCTAGAAAAATGATATTCGCACCACAGGGTAGAACGACACTTTTTTAAAAAAGATGTACGTGACGAATATATGGAAAACTGGTCCTTCGCTAAGCTGCACCATGGTGCAGCTTAGCAAAGGGCCAGCTCTCATACATTCGTCGCGTACACACTTGGAAGCGAGCCCATGGGTTCACGACTTCGCCGGGCGTCTGTTTTCCTCGCGTACGTGGTGTGATCTATGGTCGTCCCTGCTGATCCGTGTGTGTGTAACGGCACCTCTCCCGCCGGCCACCTGCCTGCGGTGCGCCGCGTCCTTCCCAGTCGGGCCAGCGAGTCTGGCGAGCAGTGTCCCCTCCCCTCCCCCCACGGCGCCGGTGCGTACGACCGCGACAGGCCAGTGAGCGCTGACCGGGCCTGTGGCGCAGGTCGGGCCCCATGCTGCACAGCCAGAGCCAGATGGAGCTGTGCGACACGGCCCGGCTGCCGCTGGTGATCCGAGAGGCCGACATTGAGTACCAGCTGCACCGCGTCACGCTCTTCAGCCGGCTCACGCAGGTCAGACCGGGCAGCGGCTGTCGGTGCCCCCCCCCCCCCCCCCCTCCCGCGGCCGGAGCTGTTTGCCTCGGGCGATGGCGGGGTTAGTTGGGTTGCTGCGAGAGAAATGGCTTTATGTGGTTGTGATGGGATGCGAGGTAATGTTAAGTGAGGTGAGGTGTGGTGTAGGGTGATGTGAAGTGCGATGTGAAGTGTAATGTGAGGTGGTGTGAATCGATGGAAGTAATGACAATCTCACGTTAGTTGGAGTAATTACAATTCCACGTTCTTCAGAAGGAATGATTGGAATCTCAGCGGGATGTGTCGGTAAGGATTCCGAATCGCATCGCAATCCGAGCCGCACAACAAAATACTTGCGGAGTCATCAGATTCTGTCTAAGCCAGCTAAGATACTATCTTTACATGGCCAGTTTATATAAGTTTTGCACGAACCCGGACTAAGCTATGGCGAACGTAATCCCTGACCGCGTAAATTACATTCCATAGCTGACAGGTTATATAATGGCGGGGTCGGCCGTACACCTGCTGATCCCTCACCTGCACGGCGAGGATCCCTCGATCCCCCGGGAACACATGACTCTCACCGCGCGACGGCTCCCACCTTGCCAGCCTGGGCCACGGAAACCTGTGAACGGTGCCTCGTTATACTTGACACAGCTAGTGACACTCTCAGTGCGCATTTTGAGCTACCGTTTTGATTTAGGCCACGAATAGTCTATTTTTAAGCAGGGCGTCATGCCTGAAATCACGTTGGGCTGTATAGGTCTAAGATATTGTTTTATTGTTGTAAATTGTTTTATTGTTTCGCGGTAACTAGTTGGTATGCATAATTGTGCAATCGGTGTGCTAATCGGTAAAAACAAGCTTTGAGCAGGCATCGCCCCAGTTAGGCCAGTTGTGTTGTCAAGGTCAAACACGGTCGCTGATGTATGATGAAGTTAACCTTAGATGGACCCTAGACAATTGTTTCGTGTCACTTTTAATCAAGGTCGCGAATTTGTGCAGTCCACCTCCAGGTTTCGTGTTTGCTGCGGCAGGACAGTGCTTGGCGTGCCGTTCCCATGTGTTTCATTGGCAATATGTGAAACATTCGCTTGTCCTAGAGAGAAAACCGAATATCACGAATGCGTGAAATATCAAGCCGTCGTCTAGTTTTTCTTTCCTGGCTTTTACTTAGCGGCCAAATACCGACGGGCATTGTGTATCTCTCCGCCTACCGCGCGCATGCAAATATTTCCGGCATGGCGAGGATTGAACCGTAGAGGCTTAAGCGCACTACTGCGGCTGTCATCGTGTATAAATGTCGGCTAAACGATTTCGTAGAGAAATGCCTCGGGGTTGCGTTGCTTGTTTACTTCAATGTGATAACAGCATGCATCCAAACATGCCACTGTCAGGTCGATTGCAACCATCCTGACTGCAATTACAACACCGATAACCCGAACGCCGAAGGGAGGGTGCTGCTGCAACAAGGCGAGGCTCTGAACCCAGATGACTGCCGCCAGCGCGGATGATACACATGTATTCACATCATCCCCTGAGCTTGACACCGTCATCATTCAGGTGGCACCCCTCGCGGGAGTAGCCGCCGTGCCAGGGCGACACCTCGCGTCTCAAACCGTCCGCTGGCTGGCGGCTATTCATCGGTCACTCGCCGCCCCAGCGCCGGCAATGCCTGGCGCTGGGCTGCTGGGCGCTGGGCGCCGGGCTGGCGCGCTGCCGGCTCTCGTCCACTGCACCGCGGTGCGGGGCCAACGCGCCGGCCGATCGGGTCTAAACTTTGATGGCCGGTCCGTCGTAGTCCACGGCATCCAGTCCGGGTCCGGCGCCGCCCCCAGCCTGCCGCAGCAGCAACTGCACCAGCCGCTCGTCGCGCAGCACGCGCGGCACCTTGAACTGCAGCGGGCTGGTGTCGGAACCGGCCAGCACGTGCTGGCGCAGCCGCTCGAAGGCGCCCGGCCGCAGGCAGACGGGCCGCGCCGGCCCGATGGCGCCCTTCGTGCGGAACGAGCGGTACACCTCGTGCCGCTCACACAGGGCGTCGTCCAGCTGCCGGAGCGAGAGGGCGGTCAGAGAGGGCGGCGGCAGGCTCGCGACGGTCCGACGGGCGGGTCGCGGCTGTGGGGCCGAGGCGGAGCCCACCGCCCCCGGCCCAGGGGTGGCGGCAGGTCCCCCCGCTTCAGTGGGGATCTGTGTTTCCCAGCACAGTCGTACTCGGACAGGCCTAGTGACTGCCGGACGCTCGCTCGCCGACGGGGAGGATTGGGACAGCACGACGCGGCGTGATGGGACCGCTGAGGGCGGCGCACGCCTGGAGCCGGCGGCGCCGCACGAGCCAGCCACGAACGAGAGCAACACTGCGCCGCCCACCTGTCGCGCCTCGGCCTCCGACAGCGCCGGCCCGTCCAGCTCGAGGAAGACCAGGTAGTGGGGCGGCCCGGCGGCCGACGCCGGCAGCAGCACGCTCTCGGCCGTCGTGTAGTCGACGAGGGCGGCGCGCCAGCCGGCGGCCGCCGCCCGCAGCGCCGCGTACAGGGCCTCCTCCGACATCTTCTCCGAGTGCACATCCAGCAACTGGCCTTTCCTGGAGCACGAGCAAGAGAGGAGTCGGGCGCTATACTCCAGAGGCACGCCCAAAACACCGTGTCGATGTGCGCCTTCGAATATGGTTTGTCAAGGATTGGTGACAGATCAGACCGGTCGTTCAGCACTGATAGTCGTCTTGCTGGCATGCAGCCACGGTGAACGGTAAGATATGGACATCGCGACCAACCAGCAGTCAACCACTTAACATGATGCATTGCGTATGTCGCCATGCTGTGCCCAAGACGGGCTGCTGGCCACACAGCCATGCGTGCGGCGCACTACCCTCCGTACTACTGATGCGGAGCAACAGGACAGCTGTCCGGATACCTGTACAGAAACTCGACCACAGGCGCGCCGTTGTAGAACGAGGCCACCCGGACGACGTCTCCGATGCGGGAAGCGGTAGAAGCCGGCCCTGGTGGTGACGAGCAGCTCGTACTCGCCACCCGGCCGCAGCTCGGAGGCCAGCAGCGGCCGGCCGTCGCCGCTCGTCTCCACAAACTCGAACAGCATGGCGCGCGGGTGCAGCACGTAGCCGGGCGGCTGCCGCTCCGGCCAGAGGTTGACCCCGAGCAGGCCCTCGGTGGCGGCGTAGAGCGCGCTGTAGATGGGCACCTCGCCCGTGTAGCGCTGCCGCAGCCGCCGCTCGTACAGCCGCATCGAGCCCGACGTCACGGTCGTGATGAAGTTGAGGTGCGGCCAGACGCGGCGCGCCACGTCGGCGAAGCCGGCGCCGAACACGCGGCGCAGCTCGGCGGCGCGCGCCGGGTCCGGCCGCAGCGCCGCGTCGCAGGCGGCGCGCACGGCCGCCGGCACGCGCACGTCGGCGCCGAGCCGGCCGGACATCGATGTCGCGCACCAGCCGCGGCCAGTCGCGCTCCAGCGCCGCGAAACACGGCGTACACGAACGACGCGAAGTTGGCCTCGATGGCGCCCAGCTGCTGGTCCAGCAGGCCGAACAGCAGGTGCACGTACACGGCGTCCGCCTCTGAGCCGATCTGGTTAACCTCGGGCGGCGCGCTGTACAGAAACTGCGTGTGCTCGCGGCCGTCGCGCTGGCCGGGTGGCGCCACCGAGGCGGGCCCGATCGGCAGACCCCCGCTCGAGTAGCGCCAGCGCGGGGCCACGAACGGCCGCATCTGGCGCTGCAGCCGGCCGGCGCCCGGGAAGGCGGCCAGCTGCCGCTCCCACAGCACCAGCACGCCGCCCACCAGGTTGAGCACCAGGCCCTGACTGACCGGCATCAGCTTGCTGCCGCCCGAGGTGCCCGAAGTGCAGGCCAGCGAGCGCAGCTTGTCCGTGAAGAGGACGTTGGGCTCGCCGTCCGCCAGCCGCTGAACGTAGTCGGCGTAGTGGGCGTACTCAGTCGGCGGGTGGGCGACGCGGAACTCCGCTAGGTTGTGGATGTCGGCGAAGCCGTGGTCGCGGCCGTACGGCGTGTCCCGGCTGGCCTTCACACGCTCCATCAGCGTCTCCTCCTGACACTGCGGACAGACCACGGGACACTACGGCGTCTCCTCCTGATACTGCGGGCAGACCACCGGACACCGCAGCGTCTCCTCATGACACTACAGACAGACCATCGGACACTGCGAACGAAGTTTTGTTACATCACGGAGATATGACAGTTTTGTATGACTAATGCTTTGTCTTATCGTGTTTTCATTATTTCAGTCGCATATTTTACTGCGTCCTGAGAAGGGTTTAATATCAGTCAAGTGATGTGCACTGCGGACGAGGCCGTTGTGAGCCGCCACGCTCTCACCTGCATGAACCGTTTGGTGTCGTTGTCGAACCTGCGTCGCATGTAGCGGGCGGCCAGGCGCAGGGCCTTCTGCGCCACGTACTGCCGAATCATGGAGCCGAATGTGTGCCGGTGCGACTTTCGTGCCGCGCTGATCTGTATGCAGCCGAGCGCCAGCAGGGAGAGGACACCTGCGGCGATGCGGGCCGGCGCGTGAGGGCGGGCGGCGGCCCGAGCACGGCCGCGGCGGCAGAGCCGGCCGGCCCGGACACTGGCGCCTGAGGGCAGGCGGCGGCCCGAGCAGAGCCACGGCGGCAGAGCCGGCCGGCCCGAGCTGACCGTCCCGGCGCTGGCGGAGTGATTCGGGCTCCACAGAGGCACGGCCGGCCGCTGCGGATATGCGGTGAATCAGGGGTCTAAATGTGCATTCCGAATATGCATTTTTAATACGTATTTCTCTAGAATCTGACTGGCGTTGTTGTCCGAAGACCTTTAGAAATCAAAAGAATCAGGATCCGGCTGCAGGGTTTTTGGAAGGATCCCCCCAAGATACGAGATTCCACAGAGTTCTGCGTCAAGAGAGACGTTCCATCCCGGATTAATACTGATCCTTGTCCAGATGTCCTGTCGGATCAGGACCCGCTCTGCGGATCTTGGCACACGGGCGGCCGCCGGGCGCCCACCGCCAGACGCAGATAGCGTGCGTGAGCTGGATGCGCGGCGTCTGCTGCCTACAAGCTGTGATGGGCACTACAGTTGCTTCAAGGGAATTGTGGCAGACTTGGGTCTAATGCGAGAAGGATTCGCAACTGAACACGTAATCAACGACATTTAGTTACGGTGAAATAAATTTGACTGTCGAAGTGCGTCCCCGTTGAGCTAAGCGTAATTCAAGCGTGCTCATGTAAGTCCTGCCCTCCCGTAGCCTCATTATATCCAAATCTGCTTTAGCACGGAATCCACTTGGGTCGATGCCGGAATCAAGCCTTTGGGTCGATGCCGGAATCAAGCCTTAAGGAACAAAAACGCCGAGCAAGTTCTCGAGACTGGAATAAACTTGCAGTGCTGCTCGCAATCAGGGCCCGAGGCAACACCGGTATTGGTAGTCAGCATTTGAACTGCCTGCTGCGGTGCTGAACCGGGACTGCCACACTCGCCGGCGGCTGGAGACTCCACGGAGCGCCACCGCTGCCGCCGGCACCGGCCGTGGTCGGACGTCTGACGGACGTCGCCCATCAGGCCGGACTCGGCCTGGTCCTGGCGCATTGGCGTGCCGTCCGCCCGTGACCGCCAGCAGCCGTCGCTGGTGCCGCGGGTCGACTCAGGCCAGACCCGCCAGACCGAGCCTGGCGCAGACGCGGGCCGGCGCACGCAGACCACAGACCACGCACGCAGACCGTCGATCGACAAAAACACTGCCTGCTTTAACGTCGGCGTATGGAGTGCGTATCCTGATGTTCACCAGGACACCGGCTGTCAGATGTCGGTGATGGGCATAGCCTCTTCACCGACGACAACTGGGATGGCCGGGACGTCACTAGTGTTGGCAGGCGGCTCTGAGATGGTCTGATAGGTCGGGATCCATTCTGCGATTTCGGCGAATACCTGCTGAGATCTGAATCAAAATATGCCCAGCCGCGCAGCGATAGGGCACATGTATGACCGTTCCTGCGCCGGTTCGGACATACGCAGCGATAAGGCACATGTATGAACGTTCCTGCGCCGGTTCGGACATCGAACAAAACTTGAACACCCCAAACGATTTATTTGACTGATGCCTCACCTAGCAAGATGCATTGCAGCACAAAGCCCAGCATGATGTGGATGCCGGTAGTGTTGGAGGTAACGGCCGTCGTCAGTGCCGACCACCGCTGCCAGGCGCTCCGAACGGCGGCACAGACCTCACTGCTGGCGCCGGCCCGTCCGACACTTCTGATCACCGAGATAAGGTCAAAGACCGCGCTGCGTTGCAGCACAGATACACAGATTTCTGAGGCAATACGCCACCGATGTTCTGTCGTAAAACACCGATGGGATCGTGCGAATGCCGCCTCGATTTAGAACACCCTTGGTGCGCGTTTGAAGCGCGTCGTCATTTGGGAAGGTGGGAGTTTCAGCAGATGTTCTGCAATTCGTAGTGTGGAAGATAAACGACATCATAAAGCGTCGCGAAACAAATGCCGTCGTGTTGACGCTCAGATAAGGAGGCATTCTAGGGTGGCCTCCGTCCCTTCTTGCTACCGTCGTCACGTGAGAGGGAGTTTGTGCGATAGTGGGAGGTACGGTCAGGCCAGTCAACTGACGATAAGTTTGCGAACAAACAAACATGCCAGAGTCTGTATGCCACATGCATCGCCAACACATTGTTCTTAAAGGTTTTTGCACGTTCATGTGGCAGCTGTTCTTTAGGGTTCCAGCGGTATTTTTGAGAACGCCGCTCGCTTCCCACACACCGGTGGGTGCGGCCTATGCAGCTCGGAAGGCGTACCTTATGTAATCAAAATGCAAAGCCCCTACGTGTCTGCTGCTGCCTGAAGGCTCCATGCTGTGAGCGTCGCGACCCCTAACGCTAGTGCTGGGAAATGACGGGATTCGAACTGGAGCATAACGGGCCGAAGTACGAGGCGATGCCATTTTCAATACGCACGCCGTGTTTACCAGCGGACATTAAAATCGACCCGTATCCGTGGAACGCTGAAAATGATGGATCCCGCGCACCGTGAGCTGATTGGTCCGCTGGACGGGCGCCTCTGACCACGCGGTGTGGCCGGGTGTGGGCTGGGCTTTCCGGCCGCCAGTTGACCCAATGGCTGCGGAACCAACTGTCTAGACATCGCTAGACACTGCCTGTGATTCCATTTTTGTCATCTGCCTTTAGTTCTGCTCCCGGATTTAGGATGTCTATTTACGTGGCCGCCGGCTGTAAAGTGACCCTCGCCAAAACTGCCAACTGAGTTCAGCGTTGCCGAAAGTTTTCATTTTCCGCCCCCATTGTGTTGTGTAAATGCTGTTGCGTGACCATGTCACAATGGATCAACACGAGACTACAATTCCCTAAAAGTTCGCGCGTCACAGGGCCTCGGTGGCCGCGTGGCGCGTGGTCCTCCCGCGCCTGTTGTGGACCTCACTCCCTCGGGCCACGCCACCCCTCCCCGGCGGCCATGTAAGCTGGCGCGCCACCATACCAGCTTGCTGGCGCGCCAGCCGTGATCGCACGCGTGACCGGGCGATGTGACCTGACCCGAGGTGACCTGACCCGACCCGAGGTGGCCTGACGCCCCGGTGCACTGACCCGAGCGCGGCGCGCGGCGCAGGAGTACCCGTACGGCGCCGAGCGGCTGGCGGAGGAGGCGCGCACCGACACGCCGCCGCTGTATCGGCCGCACTGCTGGGCCGGCCTGCTGCGGGTCTCAGGCCACGTGCAGCGCCGCTACGACGCCATCGACAAACAGACGGCCATACCCACCGACCGGCAGGTACGTTAAAGGCAAGGGAGGGGGGAGAGGGGGGGGGGGTCACTCGGCGGAGGGTCAAAAGAGGGAGGTACCCGCACCGGCGGACGGGTCGGCGGGGGCGTTGCCCCGTTCCGACCGGCGACTGGGTCAGTAGGGGGCCGCAGTACCGGTGCGGGTAGTTCAAAAGGGGAGCATACTCCGCGACAGGTGGGTCGACCGGGGGCCGCACCCACCGACCGAATTGCTGGTCGATTATGCGGCGTACGCGATGAAACGCAGCCATTCGGTTGTACTCAACGAAGCAACCAGAGCCCTGCCTTAGATGTCCTGCTCGTCCGACTCCGCAGCGTGCTGCCTTTGTCCGTGATGTTGCCAGTGTAGCCTCCGCAGACGGGCCTGGCGGTCAGCGTGTGTGCAGATTCCCCAGTAGTCATTCCATGCCTCCGTGAATGCCTTAACATGATCCTCCTGTGCGCTTTAGGTAATGCCACGGGTACAAGTATCCGACCGTCACGCCAGGTACTTGTTCACAGATAGAGGTGGACATTCCCCGCTGTCATCAGTACGACGAGCTCCTCTCGTCGCCGGCCGGCCACCGAAAGCTGCAGCGGGTGCTGAAGGCTTGGGTGGTGACGCACAAGCAGTACGTGTACTGGCAGGGCCTGGACTCCCTGGCAGCTCCGCTGGTCTACCTCAACTTCAATAACGAAGGTACCGATGCGCGTGGCCGTGTCAAGGTCATCGGCTTTGTAGGGTCGTGGGAGTTTTGCTGTGCCTAAGCTGCAAGAGGGCGTTGGCTGCAAAATAGCGATGCTGGGTTCCTTTGAAGGTGTGGTGCGTACAGCCACCGCGCGTGGGTTGCATTCGCTCCCGACTTTTGCATGGTCCGCAGCACCGTGGCGTCTGGGCTCGAAACTTCCGCCACTCTGACCTGGAGCTAGCGCTCCTGGACTCTCATGGAGCTCTGTCCTGGAGCTCCCAGCTCTCCTGGACTCTACTGGAGCCCTATTCTGGATCTCTGAACTCTCCTAGACTTTTGGAACTCTGTCCTAGAGCTCTGAACTCCTGGACTCTCCTGGAACTCTGTCCTAGAGCTCGTAACTCTCCTGGGGCTCGGTCCGGACCTCCAAGCTCTCCTAGAGGTCGGTCCAGATCTCCCAGATCTCCTGGATTCTCCTGGAGCCCTGTCGTAGAGCTTGTAACACTCCTGGGGCTCTATTCTGGAGCTCTCAGCTCTCTGGGATCTGGGCCCTGGAGCTCTCAGCTTTTCTGGACTCTCCAGGAGCTCTGTCCTCGAGTTCTCAGCGCGGCTTCTCTTGCAGGGGTCAGTTGCCATCTCGGCTGGCAAACTCAGCCTCGCTCTGTTCCAGCCCTGGCGTACGCCAGCCTGTCGGCCTTCATAGCCAAGTACCTGCACGACTTCTTCTTGAAGGACAACGCTGCGGTGATCCAGGAGTACCTGGCTGTGTTCAGCCTGCTCACGGCGTTCATCGACCCGGTGCTGGCGCATCACCTCAACAGCATCGGCTTCGTGCCAGAGCTCTACGCCATACCGTGGTTCCTCACCATGTTCACGCGTCAGTACCGAGGCGTTGTTGTCACGAGACACCGCTGTGCCGATACATTGCTGTCAGACACTGTTGACGCTGTTGTCACACGGGACAACTGATTCGAGTGAAGTGAGTGGGGTTGAGCCGATTTGGGCATTGTTGACGACTCCTTCCTTCCCACGCCTCCAGCGCGCTAATGGCCGTTTCTCATTCATTGCTTTCGGCAACATTTTCCCACGGTTATGCGGTCGGATTTTCTTGCGACGCTAAAAAGCGTCAGTTGCCTTTCTCCTGTAGTCACCCGTTCCATAACACTGGATGTTATCTATACAACACGCGCATTGTTCTATAGTCCTCCCCACATTGGTTCACACAACCAGCCAGTCCCGCCGGCGCTTGACCGCGTAGATGTGCCCCCCGCCGCAGACGTGTTCCCGCTGCACAAGATCTTCCACCTGTGGGACGCCCTGCTGCTGGAGGACGCCAGCTTCCCGCTCTGTGTGGGAGTGGCCATCCTGCAGCAGCTGCGCGACCGTCTGCTTCAGTTCGGCTTCAACGAGTGCATCCTGCTGTTCTCCGACATGCCGAGTACGTCCCGGCGGCCGGCCGTCGCCCGGCCGCGGAGGCCGCTGCGGTGACGCGCGGCCGAGAGGCGGTCCGGTGCATGCGACAGGCGCCGCCGGCGGCGAGCGCGGCAGGGGCCACCGGTCGCTTCGGTTTGACGGCGGTAGGCGGCGGTGCCGTTCATCTGAGAGATCGGGCGGCGCGACTGCTGACCGGCCGCCGCGCTCGGCTGAGTGCGGGGCGGGGTTTGAGGCCGCCCGCCTTCGCCGGCAGACATCAACATCGAGGCGGTGGTGACGGAGTCGCAGCGGGTGCAGGCGGCCGCGCCGCGCTCGGTGCTGCACCGGCAGCACGCGCCGCCGGCCGAGCGGCGGGAGGGCGGCGGGCATCTGGACGGCCCGCCGCTGCCGCTGGCCCAGCTGCGCCAGTTGCGCCTGCCGCGCCTCAGCGTCGCCGACCTGCTCCAGTGCGCCGGCGGGCCCAGCCGGCCCTGCGTGCTGGACGTTCGGCCGGCCGACGAGTATCCTTTCGAGAGCGTCGGGAGCTGGCGACGGCGTGAGGCTGGGCGCGTGATGATGCCGCCCTCATCGCCAACCGGATGCCGTTTTCAAATCTTCATTGTGTCATGCCATTCCATTTTCCACGTTAGATATTCTAGCATGCCATTTCCCGCCATCGGGTTCTTGCTTGGTTTGTACTTGCGATATCACTGCTTCACAGTAACAGGTTCCACAGGTGTTCAGTTCTCGCTTGCATCACGCTTCGAATTTTTCTTCGCTCCAGCGGTGTTGCGTGGTGTGGACACCCTTGTGTTTTTGCTTGCTGCCCAGAGGCACGAGTGACAGCGGGACGTGTGCGCTGACCGTTCCAGACAGACAGTGTCGTTTCCTTAGCGCCACTTCAGCTTCGTGCGCGGCTGTTTCCCGGACTCGGTGAGCGCGCCGGCCGACTCGCTGCTGGCCGCCGACGGCTCGCTGCAGGCCGGGCCGGCCGCGGACGCGCTCCGTGACGCCCGCGGCCGTCTCATCGTCATCGTCGGCGGCCGGAACACCGCCGCCGTCAAACAGGTACCCGCACCCGCCCGTCAGCCGCGCTCCCGTCCCGTCTGGCAGCAGCTCCCCACTCCTCCCTCCAGTACCACCCCCACCCACCAGCCTGCGCTGGAGGGGGCCGGCGGCAATTTTAATCGCCACTGATTCCGGTTGGATTGCGCGTCAACTGCATGCTGAACGTCGGCGCGCCCCAAGCGTGACGAGACGCCCCACTACGGAGCCAGCCGAGACGCCCCTAGACCCTGTCACCTCGTGCTGTCTGTCCGCCAGGTGTCAGAGGGCCTGTTGGCGCTGGGCTACCCGCGGGTCTGCACGCTGCACCGCGGCGCCGACGCGCTACGCGACGCGCAGGCCCTGCAGGTGCCCTCCAGCTAGGTTGGTCGCCCCTGCCATCTGTTGAGCGGGCCGTGCACCACGGCCGCGTTACCGCCATCTGTCGGTCAAGACGGACACTGCCGCCGGCCCCGCCACTGGCCGGCCACGGAAAGAGTGGCATATGCCAAGTCACGCGGCCTCGCCCATCGCACCGGACCGCCCGCCCCCCAAGCGCCGTGGGCGTTAAAGGTGCAAGACACGGGTCTGCCATTCCAAAAGTGCGTTGTGATGTAGGTTGCATCAGAGCTTAATGATTTATGCGCGGCATTTCCAGGGCGCATTGAGTTACCTGCGTCTCAGTTTAACGGTGTCACCGTCATATTTTTACGTAGGGAGTGCTACTTATAATGTATTGTCACTTCGCTGCCGCCGTTGAGCGTTATTGCGACGTGAGGAGGTGAATCTGCGGACGCTGGGCCGACCGTCGGCTGGCTCGAGCGCTGCCAACAGTGACCAACGGTGCGACAACGCACTGTGCACAGCGTGGAGTGAATCCTGCTTATCGCCTGCTGGAATGTGACGATGCCTGGGCGGGATAGTTGAGCGCGCTCTCAGTTTACCAGTGTGAAGAGGCGTGCGACTGCGACTTCGTGCCACTGCACTGTCGCAGGGCCGTTATTGGGAACAGCCATGTATGGCGATGCATTATACTGCAAGTGGACCATGCAAGATGCGAGAATTTACAAGAGAATATAATATCGTTTCACGCCTTGGCACACCGAGCGAAGCGAACACTACGCAAGGGGTTTGCGGTGGAGTGAGCTTTAAACCGCAATTCGACCATTTTGTTTATTTGACGTACATGCTGTCGTTACGAGACTTGGTATGCGAGCAGTGCGTTCTTCTGACTGCCGTTGGACGGCATTCGAATTTTCCCCAGGCATCACATACATTCCCAGTAAGATGCCGATTGCCAGCTACCGAGCTGGGATGGAGCTACTCTGGCTTCTTGGCCGGCGGAAAATCCAACAGAATACCAAATATCCAGTGTGTGCTCATGCCTGCGAGAAATGAATCTGTTTTCCGTTGTCCGCCCGCAGCACATATTTTTTTTAGGATGTGCGAATATTCCAGCGCCGCACACCATCAGCGAAGACCTGTGTGTGACATTTATGGTTACCGGCGCAGGCTAGAGCCGGCACCGGAAGAGCGGCAAGCATTGGCGCGCAGTTTTTTTCCTGCCACAGGCGGACCATGCTTTTCGATTGCATGCTATTATTGGGCCTCGCACAAATCCTCCAAAACGAAGCCCTCGAGCCGGACACTTGTCTTGTTTTCTGCTTGAACTTAGTGAGCTGAGTGGTTGCCTGGCGTCCGAGCCGGTCAGTCCTGGCTCGCCGCTACGATACATTCTAATTGGAAAGATCAAACAAACTATGCCTGCCAGCAAGCTGTATTCCAGGCGGACCCCCGATGAAAATCTCAGCAGTAATATTGCACAATGCTAAACATAACAACACATTTATACAACGCGCGGCCGTTTCACACCAGGCGCCAGCAGCGCCTGATTTCTCGTCATGTGACGGCCGAGAGCATGTCCTGAGAGCACTACAGTCTCGCTGCATTTTGCAGCCAGCAGGTTTCACGGAGTATTCTTTCCCTTGATACTGCCCGCAACCAGAGGTCAGAATTCCACTAATCAGGCCCTGGGGAGCCGGTCTGACAGCGCATTACGTCAGTGTCAGCGATATGATGATAATCCGCCCCGGAGCGCCGTCCAGACGGAGGTGCCGTGGTGAGGCACTACAACACGCCGACCGCGGCCGTCAGGGCCCCAGGGGGTGACTAGACACCGACATGGCCTACAGGCGTGGAACACCTCTGTGTTCGTGAATGCGCACGTGGGGGCGAGCGGAAAGTGCTATCCACTACGCGCTGGGTCGTGCTACGCACCCTGCGCAGGGTGGGCTAGCCGGCGGCGGCCTCGGGAGGGCCGTCCGGTATCGCCCCGGCGTCCGTCGCCCGCTGCCTCCTGGGCACCAGAACGGCCAGCGTCAGTCCCACCGCCGCCGTCAGCGCCAGGGTACCACGGGCCACCTGCAGCACAGAACAGCGCGGCAACTGTCAGCGCCAGGGCGCCACGGACGACCTGCAGCACAGAACAGCGCAGCCACTGTCAGCGCCAGGGTACCACGGACGACCTGCAGCACAGAACAGCGCAGCCACTGTCAGCGCCAGGGTGCTGCGGGCGATCTGTGGTACAGCACAGCGTTACAGTACAGCATAGCGTCGCGGCACGCCTCATTACAATCATCACGGCACAACACGATCACAGCAGAGCATCACAGCATAGCACAGCATAGCATCACGGCACAGTACAACATAGCATCACGGCACAGTACAACATAGCATCACGGCACAGTACAACATAGCATCACGGCACAGTACAACATAGCATCACGGCACAGTACAACATAGCATCACGGCACAGCACATCGTCACGGCCCAACACAGCGTCACGGCACAGCACAGCAGAGAATCACATCATATCACAGCGTCACGGCCCAACACAGCACAGTCGCACGGCACATCACAGCATAGCATCACGGCACAACACAGTACAGCATCACAGCAAAGCAGTGTCACGGCGCAACAGATCATTACGGCACAGTTGTCATAGCACAGCACGGCACCACGGCACAGCACAGCGTCAAAGCAGACCTAGGGGTGTATTTTATTGCTGTTCTGGCCTTGAGCCCGGACGGTGTTTGTGGCCGTCTCTCCAATATAAGTTCCGCTCGAGACTATGGCCAATGTTCATGCCTCATGTCAGAGAGCATCCTCATACGAAAAACAGATGGCAGCACCGTGACCACAGGACGCACCCACGTCACAGTCGACTTTATCTAAATAAATGGGGGCCCGTGTAAGATGGTACGCAACACCCTCAGCGTCATAGCGCGCGTTACAATACGACGCCAGGCAGATATCCACCTATAAATCTAGGATACCATAACGTTCCATCCTTATGGGGTCCTGGTACATTTTCGGGGCTCCAGACAGAGGTCTGGCACCAGCTGTCCTACCAAGAGCACCCATCTCAAACAATTTCAAGAAGATTACTCTTCAATGAACAGCATCGTGGAAAATGGGGTACCAAACACATTTCCTCCAAACCAATGTCACTGCGTATATTTGTGGACACATCTTTTTATTTGAGCGGAGCCTGAATTTATGAGCTATTGAATTTCCATTGATAATAACGTCGCAATGCATTATGGGTACATAATCTTAATCTGCAAAGCACGTCTTGCGCCTTTGAATCCAGCACAGCTCAGCAAGTCAAATTTTTAATAACATTCGTTTCTTTCTGCAATCACGGTATAAACAACGCTTCCGTTCGATTTCTGCTGCTGGCTGGATCAGAGCGCCCCCCCCCCCCCTCACCCAACAAGAGGATACCGCTGCCGGAACAGGACTAACCATAAAAGCAAATCATCTGGGACGAGTCCTAAAAGCCCTCATAGTCAGTCGCCATCGTGCGATTCATTAACCCGATGCTGTAATATGTTCCGAGCCCTTCGTCACAAACAAGGATGATGATTTACTTCCGTGACGCACTAATGCGGGAGATAAGCACTGAATGCCGTCATTTGACGGTCAGAGATACTCGATCCTTGAGCACATTCATCACGAACACCTGCCGACATATCTGTGCATACCCTCTACGCGACCAATTTTATCAACACCAACCGCAACCTCCAAATAATTATTTTCCCCGCCGCACTATAAAATACGACGGAGGTGACCACTTGAACTATCTGGTGGAATGGAGGGCTGCCTGCTGTTGCGCCAGCCGAGGAAAGGCTACCACTCACATTGGCCCTGCCGTCCAATGTCCGACTGTTGAAGGTTTTGCCGAGCGCGCCCGGCAGCTCCGACACGTAGGCATCGCCCGGCTGCTTGCCTGCCGACAGGACCAGGCCTCAACACCGGGCGGCCAGAGTATCCCCACGAACGGATCGCGATGCGGATCAGCGGGACACGTCTCTGCAACACCGACATGCCGCAGTGCGCAGAACCGGACGAGACGAGCGCAAAATGATGGCCTCTGAGATTGAAACCAATAGAAGCTCTATCGCGCTTATCGGAAGTGAACGGGCGCTCTGCTGCTTCACCGGTGCAACATCAGCCAAAACGCATTCTGGTTCAGATTCAAGTCACTTGCACGGGCTAGGTGGCTATTATCGCAAGCAATGGATCTGCCTGGGCACGTAATGTCAATATTTCAAGTGAGATCTGGTGGCTAGACAATCAGGGGCGGAGCCAGGGTCTTTAGGGGAGTCACGCGATATTGTGGTGCTGGCCCCTGAGGCTTGGTGTCGCTTAACCCCCCCCCCCCCCCAAGCAAAAACAAGAGAAAAGGAAGCGATTTCGATCACCGACCATGGCCGAAATAAGAGCAATTCATACCACTCGGAAATACATTTTAGAGCGCTCTGCGTTGCGCCCTGGAAATCGGTGACTCTTGAAAATAAAGACTATGAGGCAACGAAACAAGGGTTTTAGTTCACCATCACCATGAGGTTTTGGTGCCATTTGGGGCCCAACAACCTCATATGCGGCCCAAAGGAGGCATGACCCCATGCCCTCGCCCCCGGCGACTGTTTTAGTTCACCATCACCATGAGCTTTTGGTGCCATTCGGGGTTCGAAAACCTCACGTGTACCCCAAAATAAGCATGGCCCCATGCACTCCCCCCCCCCCCCCCCCCCCGACTATGTTGAGTGAAGCGAATGCGCGTTGAACAAACTGTTTGAAGCAAAACACCGCTGTCGAAGCTTGCGTCGAGACCTGCATGCAATTCACCTTTAACAAAAATCTTGTACAATTCTTGAAGCAGACAGAAGAAAGACATCGGGGTGCAACTGGAACAGTGCAATACGAAACACACATTAAAGTCATATCACGAGATAAAATGGCTAGAGTACCAACTAAGCAAAAGTGATGGCGCGGGAGTTTTGAGGATATCATAAGACGCATGTAACGGCTCAGCTTATGAACGTCCCCATCTCTCCCATCAGCTACAGCGGAGGAAAGCGAAACACCGGTCCTGTGGACCAGAACAGAACCCAAACACCGGTCCGGCGGGCCAGACCTGAACCCAAACACCGGTCTGGCGGGCCAGACCTGAGCCCAAACACCGGTCTGGCGGGCCAGACCTGAACCCAAACACCGGCCCGGCGGGCCAGACCTGAACCCATGACCATCAGCGAACGTTCCACCAACTGAGCTATCCTGTTCTATGGCCCATGAGGCGATGTGTGAGCACTCCCGGCAAACCGAATTTTGTATTACCTGTTCTCTATCAAGTTAGCATATTTTGTGCGAATCGGCAGTTTCGATCTGCCAAAATCAGTGACCTAGAACAGATCAAAGACGCCAAACTCTGAAAAAACTCTCATTACATTTCACTTGTTATGGGTCAGTTGCCATTGTTCAAAGTTGTAATAGCACTAGAACAGGACAACATCTGTGGTTTGTATATTTTGAAGTTTTCGGGAAATGCAAGTTCAGTAACCCAAACTCAGTTCAATTTTTGAGCTTTTTTTCCTACGTAATACAAATTTGTACGTATTCTAGCATGGTTAAGTGTTTGTACACGAGCAAAGGAGTGCATGCACATGCATGCACAACCATCATATGAGCACAGAGCACATGACCTTGACCCAGGTCATGATCATCCCGACGGGTGCCTTCTGCAAAACTCATCTTGAGCTCAAATTAGGCAGATTTATTACGATAATTTTGAATGCCAAAATTTAAAACTCCTCTGAAAATGTGCGGTACCATTATAATGCATAAGGAGGTCACAAAAGGCCACATGAGGACATGCAAGGTCATTTGAGGTAGCCCAACATCAATAACCTATGCTGCCAGTAGCGGAGAGGCTAGATGAACGAACATGACACGTTTAACCAACTCCTTATCATATTTGTAAGACTGATGACTAATTTTGTTTCCTAACATACCTGTTTTTGGTTTGTTGCAAATATGCTGCCAGGTGTCAAAGGGACTACAAATAATGTAGACAACAGCTATGTGATCTCCAGTACCTGGACATGCAAAATACACTATTTATGATCACAGAAAGACATTGTACTTATCACATAAACCTTGTTAGCACTTGAATTGTTTTCATTTGAGTGATGTTTCTAACTTTGATTTAAGTTGACCACAGATGACCTTAAGAACACCCAAAAATATATTTTTGGGTCTCAAATAGTATTTCCCTGCAGCTGCATGTAATAAAATAAATTGTAAAGAAAAGTGTAGTTCTTGTAGACCACTAGTACAGCAATTTGAACAGTGAGCTAATCTGACCTGATCCATGTGGGGGAACAGAAATGGTCAGAATGGACAGTTATTTCTGTGCCTTCACTAGCTGTCTTGACATGTAAACCTAGGTTTTAACTTCATCTACCAGAACAACCATTTCTGAACTTGTATGAGCTCTGATGACAATAAACTTGAACTAAGATCACAAATTTGGTGTACATTCTTTACAGCTTGACAAGGCCTTCAAAAAGGTACCCTTGTTTTTCTCATACCACATACAGAAACTGGAAATCCCAGGGAGGGGAAGTCACCCTCCACCCACAGCCAGGCACAGACCAATGATGGAAAAGACCCAATCCATGGATATCTCTAATTGTAATAATGAGAGAAGCCACCATTCAAGTAGTGTCTAAAATCAAACAGTTCACCACCCCACATAAAACAAAACCACAAAGCAAAACACAACAATAGGACAATGTGCACACTGGGCTAGACAGCTGTATATCCCAATCCATACTTCTGGAAAGTCCATTCCTTGCATAAAATGTCACGGCCCAACCCTTTTCCTACTCAGATAAGAGGTAAACTGAATTGTTCATGAGTAAGCAGGCAGTGCTAATTGCTAACATAGCAACACTAGCTGTGGGCAGTTGAAAGTCTTGCAGACCAGGCAAATAGGCAGATCCAAATTTCATCTGGATAGAGTAATCTTTAATGCCTTACACCACAGAACTAAGCAATATATATATATTCCTTTACCTAGTATTGGAATGCCATCCCTGTGCACTGTATGTCCTCATGGGGTTGGTTCAGCTGATTCTCCTTTCTGTCCATATTTGGAATTCATGTTGGTCTCCATTGGGGCATATGATGATCTATGATGACATCTCAATGAGCAAAGCTTGGGCCATAAATCAATAAGCAGCTTGGCCCCGCAGTCACACCATCACCCTCCATCTGGCACTGTCAATTCCTCTCCACAATGTGGTTATCCATTGCCTCAGCAGGAACTTGACAAAACTGGCATCAACAGGCCAGATGGCCTGTTATTATGTCAGATCATCATAAGGTAATTGGGCTAGGTAAAGAAATGTAAGGCAAGGTTGGTATGAAAAAATTACATTTGAGAACACAAACAGCAGGGGGAGGGGTAGTCTACACCTATGCCCCCCCTTCACAACCTACTTTCAGCACAGGGATTCTTTCTACAGCTTAGCGTTGTAAGCCCCAATGTGGACGAAGTAACTTTTCCTAGAATATGGCCTGTTATATAACCAAGTGAAAATAAGGGCAATGTGAACTGCAAACACGTATCCACCCCAAGACGGTTGAAGTTCAATCGAATCACAGATATTTGATGCTGGTCATCGGCAACTCATTTCAAAGTGCAGCAATAGCTACAGCCTAAATGCACCCCAACCACGTACCACGAGATCCACGCCACCTCCACCCGACCGCAACCTCAATAATAACCACCAATTTGAATGGCACCCCGACTCGTAATCACGCCAAAGACGTCTGTACTGCGCCATTCTAGAAACATGGGCAGGTAAAATAACACTAGTATTTATGCTTCTGCGGTAATTTTGTGATCACGTTTCTTTAGACGCGTTTTTCTATATCAATGTGATAGAGCAGTTCAGTTAGATTTTAAAAGATGTTGTTTTTTCAAAAAATATTTCATTCAAATGTAAGTAAATGCAGGTTGTTCTTCTTTCTTATGTAGTGCAGTAATCTTGTTGACATTTGAAGATCAAGGATCAGGGACCAAAGGAATTCCTTCAGAAAACATTTCATCACAAAGGTGCCCAACATATGATCGAGGCAAAGCCGACGCGATAGGTGAAACGCCGAATCTGTGTTACGGTCATGGGGAGGTCACGCAAGTAGGGGGTTCTATTCAAGCGAAGGCCGTTGTGTCCTCAACCCATTTCCACCGTGTAATGAATCGCTGAGGTGAATATCATTATTAGATCATACTTGTTAACTGTGTAATCTATCGGCTTGTTTAAGATCACAGATGTAGCGCACAGATATGGATGGCAACTTGTATTTGGTTTGATAGGCCCAATTATGGCTGATATCTAAGCTGATTGCGCAAGAAAATGATGCTGACGTCATTTATTTAGGCTAATTATTTCTGTGATCTGTTCAGAGTGTTGCATACCTTCTCAGTTGAAATGATTTTGTAAGCCTGCAAGTAATATTGCAAACCTTAAAAATGTATGATGTATGTTTTAAAAATGTATGTTTTTATTGGTGTTTATATGCATTGTGCAATGTGTATCAGCATCCCAGAATGTGAAAAAACATGCTACATCAAACATATCTGGCATAATAATGCCATTACTGCAACATTTTCAGTGTATATGCACTGTAAATCCAGGCACTCAAATTGTATCGCATGGCCTGCACCAATTTCAGGTCATTAATAATGATGTTCCAGGAAGTTTTGAAACTGTTGCAGTAAACACAGACAAAAAAACTTGTAAAATATCATAAGATTGTTTGGAAATTGTACCAGATTTAGCCAGGGTTGGGCTTGATGCAAGCTAGCATGAGCTTCAGTGTGCTATATCTTTCAAGTGTTGAGCACAGATAATATTTTTGCAGACTGGCGAGTATCTGCGCCAGTGTCCAAAATGAATTACATGTGATGTCTCTGATTGGAAACTGAGGCCCACCAAACACTGTTCAGATTGCAAAAATGGGATGTCAGAAGGTGTCAGAATAGAAACCCAGGGCCAACAGCTATTGTTTGTTCAGGAATGAAGTCTTATAATGCATACAAATCACCTGTTGTGCCCCATAACCTACTTTTTAAACTATCCCAATCATATTGCAGGACTACATTGTACCATCATCACAGTTGTGACAGCCCAATAGCAGTATACTTTTGTAGAAAAATTGAGTCTGCCAAGGGTTTATACTATACTTGACCTGCTATACTTCAGATGTTTTTATATCATGCACTACAAAATGCACATACAATTAGTAGAATAAAACATTCAAGGTGGGAAAATTAGACCTAGAAACAAGACATGGACAATGAGATAAAGAGAGACATGTTCCCTATCAGATGCAATTAATTTCTATTCTAACATCTTTTTGATATTACCGGCCTGCCTTGTTTTGAAGTTAACTGTTGCATTTCTTTTCATTTCATTTCAAGCACGGAACTCTTTTATTTCATTTGACTTCTATGAGATAGCCAGCCATACAACACATTTAAGATACACTCATTTAGTTATGCTATCAAAGCTAATATTAAGGAGGGTAATTTTCACAGTTTATATATATTTCAGTGTAACACAGCATCTCAAAATCCTCATGTTCACATGATTTAGGTCTGAAATGGTGATGATATGTGTGAGTTTTGTCATTTGATGGGACATTTTATGGGGATTTACTGCTTCCAGTCATTTGTTGCCTAGGTTGTCTTAAATGTTTTTGTGACTGCATGAATGCATACTATATGATGTTCTATATTTAAAATGCTAGTGATTCACTGTGAAAACATGCTTTTTAACAGTCTGTTCATCTCCCTGTGCATAGTATGTGTGTGCCATGTTTGGCACACATGTTCTGCATATGTATAGCAGTAGCACTACCAGCTCTGGAAAATATTGTATAGGCTGCATAAAATGCATGCTCTGACCTTAAGTCTGACTATCTGTATGATCTACATATAAAATATGTATACTCCCCAACATATCCAGCATTCTCACTAGCAGCTCATCCTGTGCAATGTCTGGGCTTCCTGTGTGGGTGATACATGCATTGATGTGAAGCCCAGCTGTCCTCTCTGCACCAGAGCCATGGTCCAAGCTGCCTGTAATGACATTTGCTGCCGCCAGCAGCGAGTGCCTGATGCGTGGCGGCGATGGAGGTGGACGACGCCGACGTCGACTCGACGCTGCTGCAGCAGTTCAGCTGCATGGGCACCACCGACCGCGATGTGCTCATCTCCCAGTTCTACAAGCTGGTGGGCGACGGCGCCAACGACCGCGACGCTGCCTTCTACCTGGACATGAATAACTGGTGGGTGTCTCACCACCACCCTCCGTTCAGGCTCGCTCACGGAGGCCGGCTTCCGGCGTTCTGGCTGGTGGTGGGCGCTGACTGCTCTGGTTGTGGATGAGAAAAGCACTGTTTGAATGTTATGCACAGTGGACTGAAACCAGATCCACTGAAGTGGTCAGAACTGTGATGCAATTACAGCAAGGTAGGCATGATGCTCACCACCATATCATCAGGGAAAGATGCACAGGTGGTTAGACTCATGCTGACTGCTCTTTCACGAACCCCCGGTTTTTGTTGACTTCATGAATGTATTGTACCACAGTTGGTCTCAAATCGTTGTCAATGGCCTGTTTGAGTAATTTAACCCACAGTAGCAAAATGAAATTGTGGTGTGGCACTAGTGAAGACAACATGAAATGAAGTGCAGGGTAGAGGGCTGTCCTGATAAAAGTCGACTCATGTTTTGCTTATCAGTGACAAGGGTACTTTTGGCACAGCCACAGCTGCTGGCATTCAGTCAGTGACAGATTGTTGGTAATATCTCATCCATCTTATCGTAACATTATATCATATGTTCCAAATGGTCACCATAGCAGTCCAGGATGTGTGGCAGGCGGACTTGCTGCAGGCAGTCGTCTGGGCGTTCTTGTCGATAGTGACGCGTCCCACCGTAAGTGTGATGGCGGCCTTGAACTCTCGAAGGGTTTCTGGCTTGTCCACATCGACGCGGTCCTTGAGATAACCCGGCAACATGAAGTCAAGGGGCGACAGGTCGGGCACGTGAGGAGCCCACAGCACGGCAGTCGTCAGGCCGAAGTGCCTCCCTCGGAAATGCTCCTGCAGGCAGTTCTGAGGCGCCCGCGCCGTACGCGGCGTCGCCCCTCCCTGCCGGAGCCAGTCCTGGCCTCGGACTGGCGGGCCGCAGAAGTGGCGGACGGGCGGGAGCAGCTGGTCCTGGAGGCACGTCAGCCTGTAAACTGCCGCACGTGGGCTCCTGACGCGTCCGACCTGTCGCCCGTAGACATCATGCTGTGGTGTTATCTCGAGCACCGCGTCGATGTGAACAATCTAGCGAACCTTCAAGAGGTCAAGGTCGTCGTCGGATGCAGACTGGGACGCGCCACTGCCAACAATTGGCGCTGTTTTCATGCAGGGAGGGTGAGGAGCACCAGGATTGGGACCTGTCTAGGAACAGCCACTCCGGCCCACTCCAGTTTTCCGTCTCTATCACCCGATTGTTCCATCTAGAGTGCCGAAATCTTGCATCCTTTTCCATTAACTATACGCATTCTGACAGCAACTTGGAGCCCTCCGTTGCCCACAGACGACTCTAAGCGTGATCTATGCGAGCCAGGTCATGACACATTATGATCTTTTCATAGACACATTGGCAGATGCATCCTTTCACCAGCATCGCTTATTTAACCAAAATTGCCATTCATATAATTAAATATGTCACAATTCGTCATTTACGATATGTGTTGAACAGCTTGGACCAGATTAGGCGGATGCAGGGATGTGCCTGGTGCGAAGACATGCTGGGAGAGTATTACCATGGCAAACAGACGTTTTCAATGCGAAGCTCAGTGTGTTCTCTTCATATGCCAGCCATTTATTTGGCCTATTGCCGTCCACGTACTCGATGTTGGTGGACATAGATCGGAGATAAGGGCAAAGCACACGACGGGGGCGTATTCAAGTAATGTTTAGTTAGAAGTGGCCCAGGTTGCAATCTGGGCAATTACGGACCGTTTGTTTTGTTTATGGAACACGACGTGGTTGCGACATCCCAGTGGAGTTCAGATGCGGTATAGGCCATTGCATCGAAGAACCACGTCAGTAATGCCTTTTGAATAATGGTGCTGTTAGAGCTGCAGTCGTGAGGTTTGCATGCGGTTTGATGTTGAATCACACGCATTTTCTTCCTCACCGGCTTCTGTTATCGAACACTGATCTGGTATTGGCTGTGACGGGTAACACAGACGAGCGGCAGACGATTCTTTTGGTGTCGTAATATTTTACCCAGCTTAACAATTTGCCTCATCTGTCACATGCTTCCAAGATGTCATATACGCCACTGTTAACAAACTTACAGTTATGTGCTCTGGATAAGGCCCCCTGCAGCGTTGACATGCAGACGAAGTGAACAGATTTCGACACTTCACTTCGGTGCACGAAAAGTTATACTCACCACGCCCATAATTCTGCTAAATGCACTGCCGGTTTATTTATATTTTTCGCCAATATATAAGATTGAGAGCTAAAGTAATAGTTTGAGCTATCGCCTGATTGGCAGCTCCCATGGATATGTAGTGAAATCCAAGCCATGAGAGAGGGAGAGAAATTTGATATAGCCTATCTGAACTGCAAAAGAGCAAACGAATGCACTTCCGAAATCAGGGAATCACGACCGACCAGGGCATCACAAATCACAATTTCACGCTCAGTCGGCCGTGTGGCTTTGGTCGCGTGCTTTCCCCTCTGTCCCTTTTTGCTGGCATAGTGTCTGGCTGTTTCAGGCACCTTCTGTTATATGAACGCCTCTTTTCCCTACCCCATGACCTAGGCTTGTCCCCGGCAGTCACAACGCGAAGTGTGCCTGCCCCCCCCCCCCTTCCCCTCCCCCCGCCCCTTCCCACAGCTCTGACAATGCCGTCGTCGAGGCACAAGCACATGTGTGCAGAAGGACTGCCGGCTGTCGGAGCCCGCTTACACACTTGTGCAGAAGGACTGCCGGCTGTCGGAGCCCGCTTACGCACGTGTGCAGGACTGCCGGCTGTCGGAGCCCGCTTAGACACGTGTGCAGAAGGACTGCCGGCTGTCGGAGCCCGCTTACGCACGTGTGCAGGACTGCCGGCTGTCGGAGCCCGCTTAGACACGTGTGCAGAAGGACTGCCGGCTGTCGGAGCCCGCTTACGCACGTGTGCAGAAGGACTGCCGGCTGTCGGAACCCGCTTACACACGTGTGCAGAAGGACTGCGGGCTGTCGGAGTCCGCTTACACACGTGTGCAGAAGGACTGCCGGCTGTCGGAGCCCGCTTACGCACGTGTGCAGAAGGACTGCCGGCTGTCGGAACCCGCTTACACACGTGTGCAGAAGGACTGCCGGCTGTCGGAGCCCGCTTACACAGGCGTGCAGAAGGACTGCGGGCTGTCGGAGCCCGCCTAGACACGTGTGCGGAAGGACTGCCGGCTGTCGGAACCCGCTTACACACGTGTGCAGAAGGACTGCCGGCTGTCGGAGCCCGCTTACACACGTGTGCAGAAGGACTGCCGGCTGTCGGAGCCCGCTTACACACGTGTGCAGAAGGACTGCCGGCTGTCGGAGCCCGCTTACACAGGCGTGCAGAAGGACTGCGGGCTGTCGGAGCCCGCCTAGACACGTGTGCGGAAGGACTGCCGGCTGTCGGAGCCCGCTTACACACGTGTGCGGAAGGGCTGCCGGCTGTCGGAGCCCGCTTACACACGTGTGCGGAAGGACTGCCGGCTGTCGGAGTCCGCTTACGCACGTGTGCAGAAGGACTGCGGGCTGTCGGAGCCCGCTTACACACGTGTGCAGAAGGACTGCGGACTGTCGGAGCCCGCTTAGACACGTGTGCGGAAGGACTGCGGGCTGTCGGAGCCCGCTTAGACACGTGTGCAGAAGGACTGCCGGCTGTCGGAGCCCGCTTAGACACGTGTGCAGAAGGACTGCCGGCTGTCGGAGCCCGCTTACACACGTGTGCAGAAGGACTGCCGGCTGTCGGAGCCCGCTTAGACACGTGTGCAGAAGGACTGCCGGCTGTCGGAGCCCGCTTACGCACGTGTGCAGGACTGCCGGCTGTCGGAGCCCGCTTAGACACGTGTGCAGAAGGACTGCCGGCTGTCGGAGCCCGCTTAGACACGTGTGCAGAAGGACCGCCGGCTGTCGGAGCCCGCTTACGCACGTGTGCAGGACTGCCGGCTGTCGGAGCCCGCTTCATGTGTTGCCCGCGACGGTAGCGTCGTCCACCAGCGTGACACACCCCTGTCTGCAACACACCTGCTTGCGAAATCGCGCGGAATCGTTCGTGCTGTCTCGCGGGCGGTGCTCCGACCCTGACCGACCCATGGGCGGTGCTTCGACCCCGACCGGCCCACGAGCGGTGCTTCGACCCCGACCGGCCCACGTATGGTGCCCCGACCCTAACCGACCCACGGGCGGTGCCCCGACCTCGACCGGCCCACGTGTGGTGCCTCGACCCTGATCGACCCACGGATGGTGTCCTGATCCTGACCGGCCCACGGGCGGTGCCCCGACCCTGACCAACCCACGGACGGTGCCTCGACCCTGACCGGCCCACGGGCGGTGCCCCGACCCTGACCGGCCCACGGGCGGTGCCCCGACCCTGACCAACCCACGGGCGGTGCATTGACCAGTGCACTCGCCTGCCAGGAACCTGCAGGAGGCGGTGGGCGCCTACTTTGACCTGCAGAGTGGGCCGGTGGCGCTGCTGCCGCCGCCGTCGCTCGTGCTGCTGGAGGACGCGACGGTCGGCGGCGGCGAGAGCGTGCCGCCCGACACGGCCTTCGTCAAGACGTGGCGCATCAAGAACGGAGGCCGCGAGCGCTGGCCACGCGGCTGCGTGCTGCGACTCGTGTACGGCATCCAGCTATCGGAACAGGTCAGTGCGACGGCGGGCCCGACTGGCCGGCCGGCCGGCGTTGCAACGCGGCCTGCTCAGAAGCGGACGGCGTCGGCCTATCCGCTGTTGCTCCGCGCCCGTGCCTGCGAATGTTCAGCACGCATTTCTAATGAGCGCCTGAAGACATGCTGCTCCGACATCTGCTATGCGTCGCGACTATGCGTTTAGGACGGCTCTTGGGGGTTATCTTACACGCTTCGCAAAAGCAACTGAAAGCAGAATTCGCAAAAGCAACAATGCAGAATGACTATTGTAAAAGTAGCGCCTGCGATCCATGCGTCCAGCTGTGCCGCCAGCCGCGCACGCCCGTGACCCCTGGCTCCGGATGTGCCGACAGACGTCCGTGCCTCTGAGCTGCCTGGAGCCGGACCAGGTGACGGATGTGAGCATACCGATGCGCTCGCCCACGGAACCGGGCATCTACCAGAGCAAGTGGCGCGCCACCACTGTGACCGGCGCCGACTTTGGAGGTGAGAACGGCCGCCGCCGCCGCCGCCGCCGCTCCCCTGGGCGCCGGGAAGCCCTCGGTCGCGCAGTGCGATGTCCGCTTGATGTCCGGCCCACTGTTCGCGCTGGTTAGAACGCCTAACGGGGAAAGAGCCCGCTGTGCATGGAGTGCTCCACGTGTTTTTGTGTATGTGATGTACTCAAAGTCATGTAATTATCGCGCCGCATTCAGAGGAAATGGCAGTGCGCATTGCGTGATCGTTTGTGCAGTAATCTGCTCAGTGGTTTGGGTGATCCTGACACTGTACTGGCCCGGCAGACGTGATCTGGGTGATCCTGACACTGTGCCGACCCGGCAGACGTGATCTTGGTGATCCTGACACTGTACCGACCCGGCAGACGTGGTCTGGGTGATCCTGACACTGTACCGACCCGGTAGACGTGATCTGGGTGATCCTGACACTGTACCGACCCGGCAGACGTGATCTGGGTGATCCTGACACTGTACCGACCCGGCAGACGTGATCTGGGTGATCCTGACACTGTACCGACCCGGCAGACGTGATCTGGGTGATCCTGACACTGCACCGACCCGGTAGACGTGGTCTGGGTGATCCTGACACTGTACCGACCCGGTAGACGTGATCTGGGTGATCCTGACACTGTGCCGACCCGGCAGACGTGATCTGGGTGATCCTGACACTGCACCGACCCGGTAGACTGGTCTGGGTGATCCTGACACTGTGCCGACCCGGCAGACGTGATCTGGGTGATCCTGACACTGTACCGACCCGGCAGACGTGATCTGGGTGATCCTGACACTGTACCGACCCGGCAGACGTGATCTGGGTGATCCTGACACTGTGCCGACCCGGCAGACGTGATCTGGGTGATCCTGACACTGTGCCGACCCGGCAGACGTGATCTGGGTGATCCTGACACTGCACCGACCCGGCAGACGTGATCTGGGTGATCCTGACGGTGCAGCCGGACGGCGTGACGGCCGTGACGCAGCAGATGACCCGGCTGGCTGAGCTGGGCACCCTACCCGGCTCCGGGCCGCCGGCCAACCCGTTCGCCGAGCCGAGCTCGCCGCCCGACGGCCGACCGGCGCCCCACCTGGCGCCGTTCCCGGGCGTCAACGCGCCCGGCAGACCGGCCGCGCCGGCTGACGACTCGGTAGGTAGACGGTCCGCCCCAACACCGCGCTGTCGGCCGGGTCAGGTCAACGACTTGGTAGGTGGGCGGCCCGTCGCAGCGGGGCCACAGGTGGCACGGCGCGGTGAGGCAGCGGCAGTGCTTTGGTGGCGGTGTCTGCGGTCTGCGCGGCGCGCTGCTCTGGGAACGGGCTCATCATCGAGTTAGCAGAGATTGGAGAAGGTGAATTGTAAAACGAGTTGTAAGGTGACGGGAAGGGTCGTTGGATTTGACATGCGCCGTCTGCCCGCGGATGACGGTGGGAAATAGCGGAGGTTTTCAGTTCAGAGGTCGTTGTAGGGCAAGATGCCACCACTGACTGCTTTGGACCGGAATGTAAAGTCACTCGCTATTGTAGTGAACTAGCGAAAGTTATGCACTGATGGGAAACAATTATGAAAACAATAAAAAATGACGATAACACCTGCCCGACCACCGTTACTCTATTGAAGCATAAATTCTAGTTGATGGCGGTAAATTACCGTAAGACCATGGGAACCCTGTAATCAACAATGATGTTATCTTTTATAAAACCGGCCTGTCATATTTTTGTTTAGCTGTCTGGCGGAGTACCACTTCTATACAAGTGGCCTGGAGTGCTCCAGCACCACCAACTTGGTCACAAAGTATCTCACAAAAATATCGCAGGTTGCGGCATTTCGCCCTAGCAAAACCAAAGAAGACATGCACAAAACCACGCAAGTTTGATGATGGAGGGAGCGTGCAACTGAGGAAACACTCATAGTTTTACTGCAAGCAATGCAGGATACTGAGAGTGATCAAAATCCATGGGCATAGCCGGATGCGCGCTAGAGTAGCCCTTTTTTGCTTTTATGCTTGACCAACTATTTCTTTTATTCTTCTTCTGTAGTCAGCCGTCAGTATAAGTGCACTTGTTGTGTTCGTCGTCCTGGCCATGCGGATGTCGGAACTCTAATGTCGGTCTCGGTCTCGGATGTGGGAACTCTAATGATGTCGGTCTCTAAGACTACTTGGCCCAGCTAAATTTCGTAAAATACCAAATGATTTTCTTAAAATTCTCAAATCCTTCGTCGTCAATTCAACAAATGCTTTCGACAGTCGAGCGCCAGGGAGTTGGAGTGGCGCCGGCATGTTTGATAGGAAGCACTGTCTCGGGTTGTCGCAGACCACCTGAAGGTGGAGCCAGGTGGCATGCGTCCGCTTGTGTGCTAGACATAATGTTTCCACCATTTATTGTTGAATGCGGCTGGCTGCACCAGGAACAGCGGCCTCACCTGCAAAACAGCGCGGATAAGCGGATAAGCACCCAGCCCCCATCTCGCTCACTTAGACGTGCGGGGCTCAGCCAGCCTGATCAAGCAAGGTGTATGCATTACTTGCACGTCTTGCTTCGATAACGCCGCCTGCACGACCAACTGCGGGGTTAATGCAGTCTAGGCATGAGGTATGAAGTTGAGTTGTGAGCTGCACCCAGTGCCTTTCCATCAGCGTGCAGGGAGACAGGAGGTACACCGCGAGGAGGAGAGGGGGGGGGAGGGGGTGATGCTCCGGGCGTTGGTGGGCTCCACTCAAGGAGGGCATAACAACCTTGTTGGGCTGCACTTTCACCTGTACCGCGGGTTTGATGTCCTTCGTGAAGCACCATTTGTGGGGAAATATTATGTAAGTGCCATGGTCGTGTTAACCGAAAACTTCAAGAAACAACATTCATCCGGGACAGCAAACCGGTCAGGAACAAAAGCGTGACCTTACGCGTGACGTATGTTCGCTGTCGAGCTGACGAGCGGTCTGGCACTGACATGCGGTTTGGGATCATCACAGGTCGTTATATAATCGTCGCTTGTTCGTGGCAAGTTTGTGTCTTTGAAAATAGAGCGTGTGATAATTCCGAGACGTCAGGCCAACCAACAGATGCCAGACATCGGCCAAGTACTTTTGACTCTCAACGATGAACAGAACACCGTTCTTAGAAAACCGGAGCGGGTGTAGAAAAAGCTTACGAAATGCACCTACACGAAAGTGTTCAACAACACTTTTCTTGTTTTTTTTTTGGAACTTTTCGAGCAGTTCCATGATTGTTTTCAAGATACTCATTGCACGTTTACCAAGCGGTCACAAGCACATTACATATACACAAACTCCGATTCATCGAATACCTACAAAGTACATGTTCAAGGCCTTTGAACATAACGTTTGCATATCGTATGCCCTAGTTCTAAACGCACTTTTGGTTAGAAGTTTTACATTTCGCCATATCAAGCTAAAAGGTTTCTGCTCTGGAAGGTTTGCATTACGGGTGCTACAGAGGGGGGGGGGGGGGGGGGGGGGGGCTGTCCAATCGGTCACACGTCGTGGAATGGAAGCTGCGTGAGTTGTTTATTTTGAATGTTGGTGACGGGTGTCATGTCTCTGCTGTATAGCGCTTCAAGCGTGATGAGGCGTATGTGGTCTGAGGCATGCGCAAGCAAGTATGGTAGCATGGTAGCGCTCATAACTAATTGTGTTGTGGTGTGTACCTGTATGTGCCTCCGGTGCCCCCTCCCGCAAGTGTATGGTTACATTTCTGCTGGGACTCGTTGCAATCAAGCCAGTGTAGTTTACTTGGTGGGTTTTACAGTCCTCGGCAGTACATTGGCAACAGTAAACTACATTGGTCTGCTCCGACTTATCTCTGCTTTAGTTGCAGTTGTTTTTAATCACCAGTGAAGATATTGTGAAACTTTTGTAGCATACAGCAAACCCTAGTGTTTTTTCCCCGTTGATCAGTGGGGCGCAGTGTTTCAAGCGTGGTGCACTCAACGCTGGGCGACTGGTAGACAGCCTCCACCCGTAATGTTGATGTACTGGACCTTTTTCCTGCCAACTGTTCAACTTAGCATGGTGAAATTTAAAAGTTTTAACTACAGAAAAATGCGCCTTAAATTATGGCATACAGCGTGCAAATGTTATTCTTAAATGCCTGCAGCATGTATTTTGTAGGGAATCGATGAAACCGAACTTTTGTATATGTATCGTGCTTGTGACTGCATATTTGAAGTGTAATGATTGTCTCGAGAGTGATCATGGAACTGATCGAAACGTTGAACAAATATGTAAACATTGATGACATATCAATACACCGAAAACAACGAACGTATCATAGCAAGCCTTGAGCAAACCACCAAGGAGAGCGAACCTTCACCTGAGGTACTTCATTAATATATATATATATATATATATATATATATATATATATATATATATAAAGCTAATAAGTATAATTATATCAAAATGCCAATCGCAGTCGGCGGGACCTAAAACCCCAATGATTATCATGATGTCAATATATGTGTGTGCATAAATATAAACTTGTGTACCGAAATGTCGCGATAGTTCCCTGGTACTCTTCTGCAGACCGTAAACAACAACAGTTAAGTCATTAAAAGCGTAGAATGGGACGCCACTTGTCTGTGGTCGCACTGTCGGACACTGGCTATCGCTCTAGAAGGCCGAGGCGAGCAAGAACGGAACCGAGGTTTGGGCACCGACACGCACCAACATACAGTAATTCACGTCATTTCACGTATTGAAACCCGAGATCAATGACATGAACACAAGTATTAGTTTTGTAAGAAGTGACTAGCCAACGATGAGTTCCACAGGCAGTCCGATTGCGTAAATCTCATGCGCGGAGAGTTCTCTTAATGGGTTTAGTGTAGCATAATGATTATTTGGCGCACGCTACCTCAGTCGTTCTAAAAAAAAACAAGGCTGCACACCTATCTGCGTCATGCACTTCAGCTGCTTATCAACGCACGTTTTGCGGTATTTTCTGTGTCCTTTCTGTATTTGGACGGAGACCAAAGAACTTGGCGGACGCGCGAAGTTCATAAAAAAGGACTGTCATTCTGACATCGTCCCTGTCCAGAAAACAAAGCGTGTTGTCGGTGTATAATGGTGCTTTTACTGTTCTTCGTCTATCGTTATGATCCGTTTATCATAGCAATGTTGTATCATCTTCCTTTGGTATATTTCGTGTTTGCTGCATTTAACCCAATCGCAATTCGACTCGTTTTGTCAAACAATGAAGCACTCACCGACTGGAAGAAGTGCAAATTGTCTTTGTCTCTCTTGTCTCTCATTGTCCTCAGTTGTCTTTGTTGTCATTTGTCATTGTCCCCATTTGCCCCACTCATTGTCTTTTAAGGGGCAAAGTCAAGCTGTTGCAGGAGTAAACATATTTATAGTATTTGATTTTAAGAGTATACATATTTAGTTTATGTATATTTATGATGTTAATTAAGTTAATAAGTCAATAAGTATGACGCAAGATTAAGTTAGTAAGCGTGGGAACACAACAATGAAATGGCAGGTACTGAAAAACGCAGGCCGAAATGTGCAGTGAAAATCAAAAGCATGTGCATAGGAGCTAGCACGCGCCTGTTTGCTTTTTGTTTATGGTATAATCTAAATGTTTCAATCTAATGTATAATTGTTTTCATTCTCAGCGTTCGTATGGATGAACGTCCCACATGATTTGTTATTGCGGCCCGTACAACCTAACATACGTGCGTTTAACCAAGACTGGGCATTCGTCGTTCCGTTTTTTGTTTTTTGTTTTTAGAGGTATTTGTCGA